GCAAGCGAACCTCACGAGATACCGACTCAACGAGTCAATTCTACGTGACACGGGATCACCCAAATGATCAACCGAAACCGGCGAACGAAACTGGCGGCTCTGAACGGCTCTAAACTAAAGGACGACTCCAGACGGACGAACGAACGAGCGAACAACTCAACAACGGCTGCGACTAAACCGGTGGGCTAGACACGATTCATGGTAAAGCCCCGGTATGGCAAACGATAGGCCGGTAGGAATTTAGGGATGCACCTTAGGCTTTGCAACTCGGCTACCGGGCAACGGCATCGAACAAACCACAACAACGACAACGCGGGATAGCGGCGGCTAGATTTAAGTGACGCACGGCCGTGACACACTATAGCAGCAACGGCACGGCACGACACAATCACAGCACGGCGACCAGTGGCTCAGTGGTTGCAGTAGCGGGACGGCAACAACTTGGCACACACGAGCAACGGCCAAACAACAGCTAGCGGTCAAGCGGTAACGCACAGCAGGAGCAACACGACTGTGGCAGGGAGGGCACAACGGCGACTAGGCGACTAGCGCAGCGGCGACGGCAAGCAACAACGGCACAACCGGTAGCGACGGTGCACAGGCTAGGGCAGCAGCGCGGCGAACAACAACGCAACGGGCACGGCTGCGGTTGCGACGAAGCGGCTTGGCAAGCGCGGCCGATGGGTTGAAATCTAAACCAATGAGACAATGATAGACGTCTCACCGATCCAAAACGATCGGAGAGGGAGGGATGATGACAACGTTCCGATAGCAACACATGGAGACGACAACGCTAGACAAACCACGGATTAGATTATATTGGATTAAGACCCTAGGGAAAAACCTACACTGGCGAACGGCATGGGAGCGGCGGTTGCCGGCGAACAACGGTACAATAATGCAAACGGAGGGCACTGGGAGGAAGAGGGGATCAAAGTGACCCTTACCACCACTTACGCGACGACGAATGGCAACGAAAGATGGCCGGCGACGAGCTTCGAAGGGTGGCGAGGTACTGTCCTCGAAGGCGACGACTTTCCGGCGATGTGCGGCGACAACGGAGGGGTGGACGGCCATCACCTCGCAGCTGCGAACCCAAAGGAGGCGACGGCGACCGAAGGCGACGACGGGATGAGCAGCAGGGCCTCGCCGGAGATCAAAACATGGCAACGGTTCGGCCTTCACGAGGACGGCGACTTCCGGCGGGGTTCGGCGCAAAAGAACGGGTGGCCGGGGTAGAGCTCTTCACTGTGAAGCCGAGGGAGGTGGCGTCACAGGAGGGCGACGGCCGGGGCGACGGCGAATGGCGGCTGGAGCGGCGGCCGGAGGTGGAGAGAGAGGGAGAGCGCGGGGAGAGCGATTCCGGCGACGACGGCGGACGGGACTTGAGGGGATAGGTAGAGGACGACTAGGGGGTCCTTTATATAGCCATGGGAGGCCGGTATCGAGCCCACAACGACGGGAAAAACTCGGGAAAGTTTAGATCTTCGCCGGAAAAAGGAAAGGTTGAACCGCGAAATTGGAAAGGATTTCCATAGAAACATTTGGGTATTTCTTGGGGAAAAGGAAGAGGAGATTGAGAGAATTCCATTCCCGCAACTAATTTGGAAAAAGGAGCAACGAGGTGGCCGGATTTTGGAAGGGAATCGGCGGTACTGTGCACGGCACGGGAGACAGTCGGCTGGAGGAGGAAGATGGAGTACTGTAGCGCCAGGGAGGTTAAACAGACTTTGTCTGGGCTGAGAGGAAGGGAGAGGGGAAAGGAGGGAATGGGCTGGATTCGGCCCAAGCTGATGAGGAGGACTTTTATTTACTTTTCCAAATAAATTAACCAATGAGATGATCTTTCAATTGTTAAAAATACTTCCAATACTCAAATAATTCCAACAAAAATGTTGAACATACTTGGACACTCAAAGTATTTAATATAATAATATCCAGATCATTTAATGATTAATTTATTATTTAAATAATTGCTAAACTGTTCTTTGTATTATTAACATTAGGAATTGAGCTCCGAAAATTCCGAGAAAATTTCAGAGAGTATAATTAATCATGGAGAATTTAATAAAAATTAAATCCAACCATGCTTTACATTTAGGAAATTTTATTTCCCACATTTAACTTCACTTGTAAATTAATGAACATTTAATATAAATTCTATTAATAATTTATTAAATAATTTATAAATCCTAAAACGGAAATTCAGGTTGTGACATGTCCTGTTCGACGTGTCCGTGGTAGTCCTCGACTTTGACGGCCGGTCGATGACACATTTGCTCCCACCCTCGATCGTGGCGAACACCGCGTAGCGTGCCTTCCTCGCCAGCTTCTCCAAGCCCCTGCCTTCGGTGCTGCTCCCACCACCCACGCCTATAGCACTTGTTGTCACAGTCGTGGGGGTAGCGCAGAAGTGCAACAAGAGGATGGCGGCCAAGCTCATGCTCGCTGGACCCAGTAACACGGTCTCGTGTGTGTAGCGCAACCTGATACGCAAGCTAGGGCTAGTGCTGAAGGAGGGTCTTGTCTCGGCCGAGGCATTTGCAGCTTACAACGCACTATTCTCTCAGGATCACGTCATTGCCATGTATTCGCTCTTCTCTAGCTACGACTAATTACCTCCCCCCCTCTCTCTCTCTCTGTGTATGGCTCCTCCTCTATGGGATCATGCAATGAGAATGTGTTGGTGTGGAACATGCAGGGTCTGAACTCACGTGCCCACCAAGTTGTTGTCCGTGATGAATGTGTCTTGCTACTCTATCTAGAGGAGACCAAAATGGATGTAATCTCGCCCTGAATTATTTTGGAAATGCTAGGCCTGGACTTTCACCATTCATTTTTGCATGCGATCGGTTGGAGTGGGCGTATGTTGCTTGCTTGGCGGACCGCCGTCTAGTCTATCTCCAACATTCACCATGCTGACTTCTTCAAACAGCGTTGGTTCATCACCACTCTGACGGTACCCCCTGGTGGCTCTTTGTAATCTATGGTCCACAGGGGGAGATGGACAAACTTTGGTTTCTTGACGAGCCTCGGTCGTTGTGCTCTTCTCGTATGGGGCTATGAGTTGTCGCGAGTGATTTCAATCTAATTCTTGAGGCCCAGGACAAGAACAACATGAACCTCAATTGTAGCATGATGGGCCGCTTCACGGCTGATTGACGAGCTGGACCTCCGAGAATTGCCACTCCATGGCCGTCGCTTCACTTGGTGCATAGAGCGCGATTCCCCCACGATCGTCAAACTTGATCATGTCTTCTTTTCCACGGATTGCGAGGAGTTTTTCCCATCTTGTCTCCTTCAAGCGGCCTCCTCCATTATCTCTGATCACTGTGCTCTACTCCTTTACTCTTGCGATTCTCGTCGAAAGCACATCGCTTTCACTTTGAAGCGATCTAGCCTAAGTTCGACGGCTTCCTCCAAGTCGTGTAGGACGAGTGGCAACTACCGGCCCATCTTCCCCAATGGCAGCACTCGCTTGGGGTTTCTCTAACACAGCTAAGTGCTTGCAGAGCTAGAGCTACCAGCACGTGGGCAATGTCTATCTTCGATTGCTAATGGAGAAGAGCTTATATTTCGGCTCGAGGTCATGTAAGAGTCTCGCCCATCTCTCCATTGGAGTCCTGGTTATGGCATGACCTTAAGTTGAAGTGCCTTGACCTTGCTTCAGTTGAGCATACCATTGCGCACCAGCATTCGCGTCTTGTTTGGCTCAAGGAGGGTAACGGCAGCACCAAGTTTTTCCATCTTCACACTAAGGCCAGGCGGCAGAGGAACTGCATCACGCGCCAGCGCGCTTGCCTCTACTCACTTTTGCAGTGTCATGGGGACGTTCATCGAGCGAGACCTTTGTCTTGACCCCCACTCTCTTGGTCTCTATTCGGTAGACTTTGCTGGCCTAGACAACATCTTCTCTGAGGATGAGGTGTGGGCGGTAATCAAGCAGCTACTTTTAGATAAGGCGCCTGACTATAATGGTTTCACAAGCCATTTCTACAAATCTTGCTGGCCAATGATCAAGTGGAAATACTGGTTGCCCTTAACACCCTCTTTCTGGCGAACAACCATGGTCTCGCCTCCCTCAACGATGCCCTCATCTCTCTCTTGCCTAAGAAAAATGAGGTTGTTCAAGTTAACGATTTCCACCCAATAAACCTCATCTTCAGTTTTGGCAAGCTGTTTTCTAAGGTCCTAGCGTCCTGCCTCACTCCCCACCTCAACGAGCTGGTGGCGGTTAATCGAAGTGCTTATGTCAAAGGCCGTTCACTCCATAACAACTTTTGCTATGTCCAGCTTGCGGCCAAGGCACTCCATGCTAGGCGCACGCCCCATCTGCTCCTCAAAGTGGACATTGCGAAGGCCTTTGACAAGTTAGTTGGCTGTTCCTGCTCAAGGTGCTTACCTATCTTGTGTTCAGCAGTCGATGGCGTGATTGGATCTCCCTGATTCTCCGTTGCTCCTCTTCCCAGGTGCTGGTCAACGGGGTACCGAGCCACCATTTCCTACACTGTAGGGGGGCTCTAGCAGGGCGATCCCCTGTCTCCCATGCTCTTCCTCCTTGTCAAGTATGTGCTAAATGGGCCCTTCAATCTGTGTGCACTCTTGTGATTAGCCGGAAATATGTTTCTTTGCATGTTGGCTCATTCTCCTTCATTTGGTAGCCAATCCATGTATTTATAATATTCTCCAAGGGAAATTATTTGAAACAAATATGCGTGTAAAAATGCTAGTTCTATATATTTATTTGTTAAGATAATTGACGGTCGAAATCGGTACTTAACAACTGTCAACGTTGATATATTCTCATATGTCAACGTAGGATCCACGTGCATGCTGACTAGTATTGATTTTTTTTTCTACAAGTAAACTACTTGGTTTAAAATAAGTGAGGAATGTAAACGACCGAATTAGACATGCAAAAATATACTCCATTATGATCAGACAATATGAAAATTAGTATTATGCTTTAAAATTCACAACCAATGGTGCGGCCTCAAATTATCTTTCTCCATATATGGAACTCCCTGGTTCCATTGACAACAATGAAAAAGAACATGTATACATAACAGAGGCCAAAAATTAGTTGAAGCCAAATCTGCCTAACCGACGACGCAACCTCCAGGGCCTCCATATAAGCACCTTGAAGTGCTTTCACCAAAAATAGGTGTCATGGCATAACAAAGGTCTGAGGTCTCGTCTTTGATCGTCTTCACATCAAATGGTGCGATTTTGCCATCTTCATCGACTAATAAAATATCCTCAATTGATGCAGCCTTGTCAGACAGGATCGATGGCAATAATCCACTGCCCATTGGAGGGGTTGAAGCACCTTCTACTGCTAAAACACTCCCACCAAATAAAATGCTAGTTGCCTTTTCAGATAAGTTGGTAAATAGATTAGCTGGGAAATAACCCACAACTGTTGGAGCACTGTTGAAGCCATAGTATATCCACCAATCCCCAGTAGACTTTTCCTGTCATTATTTTTTTAAAAAAAAGTAAATTGAGTTTATATATGTTTTTTTAGTTCACTAGCTAGCACTGATCATAGCATTTACATATGCCTAACAATATACTCCCTCCATCCCAAAATGTTTGACGCCGTTGACTTTTTTAAAAATGTTTGACCGTTCGTCTTATTCAAAAAATTTAAGTAATTATTAATTCTTTTCCTATCATTTGATTTATTGTTAAATATACTTTTATATATACATATAGTATTACATATTTCACAAAAGTTTTTGAATAAGACGAACGGTCAAACATATTTAAAAAAGTCAACGGCGTCAAATATTTAGGGAAGGGGGGAGTATATAAATGGAAGTTATGCTTTGTAGTATATATATTTACTCCCTCTGGTTCCATATTAATTGACGTTTTGGACAAGGTTGAGGTCAAACTTTTATAACTTTGACCATCGATAACTTTAAAAATATTTAGTTTAAAGGAACTAGAACAATATATATAAATTTTTCTTTTAAAGTACTATAATAAAAATAAACATGCATTTATTTATTATATATATTATAATAGAAAAATAAGATCAAACATGTATCTTGTAGACCGTGTCATTGTCCAAAACGTCAATTAAAATAAAACCGGAGGGAGTAGTTAATTACCCTAGACACTTTAATTGTAATATTTTGTCGCGCTCCATCAACATCGGATACTGGGCTTATGACATCACCAGGAGTTATTTTTGATCCAAGTGTGAGTTGAAAACCTGGACACCTCATGTTGTAGCACCCTGTAGTTCGGTATGAGTCCCTCTATTTCAAATGCAAAAAAAAAAAAAAAGGTCAATGGCCACACATGTTTTATAAGCAATATAATTTTTGAGTTGTAGAGAAAATCATACCGTCCAATAAGTGAAGAAGTGGGTGTGTGAGTCACCGTACAATTCAGGAAAAACCTAGAAAAAATGTGATATAGTTAATGCTGAAAACGAACAAAACATAAACATAAGATTACTGACTTTTTCAAGGAGAACTGCTTACCTGCCATCCAATCCTAATTGCATTCTCTTCTAGGTTGTCATTGGGACCTCTGTTGACAATCCATACTGATGATATGATTCTTTGGCTATAATTAATCTCAAATCCATACACATCCAATGTAGCAACAAACCCAAAGTAGGTCCCCTCATATGTCTGATGCATGGCCATCTGTAGAAACAAGCAAAAGAAATAGAGAGAAAAAATCATGGAAAATAATTTCTATAAGGATAAAATAAAACACAATGGTTGTGCATATATACTTACATATGACTTTGTGGCATCACCAACTTTTGATTGCAAAGATTTTCCAAACCTTGTCTGAAGATGAAAAGGCATTTATAGCATGAAGTAAGCAAACTACTCTTATTAGCACTTGGTTAAATTTCATCATAAACCACATATGGTAGGAGTAGAAGATTTAGAAAAGGAAGCCATATATGTATCGATACATCGAAACAAATTGCACTTTCCAATTTGACTTCCTCTATCATCAAAAGGGCATGAGTTTGCAATTATGCTCATGTCAAAACAAAACGATCAAAGTTCATAATGGAAAATACTAAAAAGTAAAATAAACATAGGCCTACCATATTCACATCTTGGTTGGTCAGATGAAATCCTCCACCCAGGATTTGGTGAGCAGCAAACATGATATAGATAACATGGATAGATAATCCTAGGTTATGCTTAGACATCTTGAAATGTAGGAGCATCGTATCTCTATATGGAACTCCATTATATAGAAAGAGTTATAAGAGGTACTCATTAATGGAAATAGATATAAAATCTACATAATAAATGTACAAATCAACTTATGATTTGTACTGCAATGAATTGTTTCCCCTCCTTGAGCTGTGAATATTAATTATAAGAGGTACCAACCCTCGAAATCCATGGACAATTAATCTGATAGAATTAAAGAATTTATTACCCTAATGTTGGTGGTTCTTACGCCCAACAAGAAATATTTCACAATTTTGTGGAAACCGCTTCAGTTTTTACCCTAAAGTATTCTAAGGTTTTGAATCCACGAGGTAATGCTTGAAGCTTTTGTGTTATTGTTAACGCGAAAAACACACACTGGCCTGGGAGATCTGCTTAGCTCCTGTGCAGGTCCAAATCTTAGTGAGGTGCGGGCGTGCCAGTCAGTTTGATCCTTCAACTGACAAGATATGTAAACAGTAGATCAATGAGCCGATTGGCTGATAAGCCGATAGAGTAGTTCCAGCCGATAGCCGATAATAGCCGATGCCGATTCCAGTCAATGTCGATAGGGTTTTGAGCAATAGGCTATATGTTCAATGTAGATAATGATATGAAGACAATCGACTGATGATAATAAAATATAACAATAATATAATCCAATAGAAACCAATCGGCTAATAATGATATGACAGATAAGCATTGATCCGAAGGTTAAAGTATATATCGGCTGGAGGTCCGATGTCATAAAATCCACAAGATTAGATTAAACAGTGAAACCTTTGTTACGATCGGCTAAACCCAACTTGTATGTAATCCTTATAAGCCGATGCAACGTCCAGATAACTTATCGGCTAGCACCCCGATAAAACACTAGCATGAACCTATCGGCTTAACAAGATTTATATTATCAACAACAATCTAGTAGGTCGAACTTAACCGATGCAGCACGAGATTGTATATGATAATCTAATACTCGATGAGCCGATAGATCTGTCTAATGTGATGGATATAACAAATCTATTTACAACAACATTGTGATTGTAGAGATATATCGGCTAAGACAGAAGATCGGACCTAACCGAGACAGTCCCAACTAAACCGATACGTCTCTAAACACAATGCAATTAGAGATAGAATTGAGATATCAGGTAGGCAAATATATCAACCAAACCAGAGAGATCCAAGAGATCGAAGCGATGCAGCCTTGAACAACACCAACGTAGCCGATAAATTCACCAGGGCTGGCGGAACGTAGGAGTTACCCCTTCGCCGGATATCGAAAGCCGATACAGCCCCGCGTCAGGTGCCAAGTTCCGTCAGATGATAAATAAAAACCTCGGTAAAGAGGGTGGCGATGCGCCGAGAGTAGTTGTATTGATCGAGAGATTGATTACAATAACCCTGGGTGTACATATTTATACCCATGGGTAAATACTAGTTCTTATAGGACAAGAAAGAAACTTTCCTAGAGATAAAAGGAAAACATAAAGTCCTTATCGGACACTAAACACACCTTCCTAAAGATAAAAGGGAACTAACAAATACTGCCTAATTAATAGATAAACTGCCATGTCGCATCCTCCTTGAACTCGGACTCTTCTAGATAAGCTTCCTTTAATTGATCCGACTCCATCAAGAACACAACTGCTGGCGACTTGACAACTCCCATTGGCCGATTCCAAGACTCTGAAGACGATACTGACTCTAGGCCGATGAAGACTTTGGGCTTACCAAATTTTGGCGTTAACAGTTATATATGCTTCTTTTTGGAAAAGGCTATCTCAATAACACATTGTTTCCTCATATGGTGCTCTTGAGCGGTTATGATTTTTTTTCCTTACAATCAATCCTTAGTAGCCTTTTGGCTAACCACTTCTCTAAACTCTTAAGTCCTATGTGGGGCCCAAGGTAGAAATACATTAACTTAACAATATTCACCAGATTATTGAATTGGATCATCTGCTCCACACTTCAAAAAAAAATATGTTTTAAGCCATTTATTATGTTTATTTCCTTATACTTTGTGCTTAGACCACTTGTTTTAATGTTAAGTTTATTTATTGAAATATTTAATTGATACATATAGCCTATTAGATAATCCTTGACAATAATGTGCTCAATAATCTAAATTGAACATGGCCATACCAGTCTCGTGTATGTCGTCGTGTTGAAGAATGGTTCTAGTGAAGATTATAGTACTTCTCATTCCGACCATTGGAAAATAATGGGCAGCAGAAAGGAGGAAGATGGACTCAAGCACAAATATAGCCAGTAAAATTTGTCCTAGGGCATAGGCACAGTTCCTAGAATTGAATTGATGAGAACATCACCGGCTTAGATATGACCATTCCCATGTTCCACATCAACACGATAATATAAAATGTGCATGTGTTTTATATTGGGTTTTGTTTCTATATGTTTGGACATAGAATGATGCACCATGAATTTTATGTATCTTCCCTTTCAGAAGTGTTAGCATTTATCAAGCAAAGGTGAGCATACACATGGAGACAATGAATGATCAATGAAGTTGATTAGGAACATCTGAAGTTCTCCCCCCCCTCCCCCCCCAAAGTATTTTTCCATGTCACTACATTACTAAGGTGCTAGAAGGCAAGAGATAGTATTTTACATGTTTCGGACTCGAATTCGACCCTCCTGGCAGCATCAAATTAAAATGGACCTAGCTGCTAATCCAGAAGCATTTGTTAGGCCCATAAATAATTATTGGATAGGTCTTTTTTTAGATAATGGAATAAACATCCTGGCCTTTGCTCAAAAAGAGCTACAACCCATTATTACAATCTAGCACTCTAAAACGAGTGTAGTTCAAAAATGATAGAATGAAATGACCACACAAAGGTAAATTTAACCAATACAAGATCAGGAGAACACATTATTGAAGTATATTTGTGAATCTCCATCCATAATTGGCAAAAAGCTGCATAACCGTCATCTCAAGCTTACGACATACAACTTTTAAAAACTCACCGTCTTCATCACACCTTTGTATTCATCACACCTTTGTAGTTGTGCCCAAAACCGGAGCTAATATGTTGCCCTGAAAATTACCTACATATAAGAAATAGATGGTGATTTGTCAAACCATATCATTCCTACTCAACCACAGAGCCCAACATATTGCAGAAGCTCCCACCAATATAAGTTTACTCCTTTTCTTGTCCACCCCCAACAGTCACCCATCAAAAATATGAGATATACTAATAGGGAGGTATAAACAAAAAGAGAACTGTGCAGCTCTCCATAAAAACTTTGCATAATGATAATCCATAAAAGATGTTGTGTTGACTCATTTTTCATACAGAAACAACATCTTAAGCTACCATTCCAAATCCATCTTGCTAAATTATCCTTAGTTAACACCACCCCTTTAAGCAAGTACCACATAAAAATCTTAATCTTAAGCAGCATCTTAAGCTTCCAAATTATCTTATCCCTTTCAATATAGCCATTGTTAATCAAAACTAGATACATTGACCTTACAGAGAACCGTCCATTCTGATTAAAGTTCCATGAAAAACAATCAGAAGAATTCTTCCTTCTAACAATAGCATATAATGATGGATACTTATCTTTAAAAGCCACATTACCTAACCATTTATCTTCCCATAATCTTGTTTGTTCCCCATTATTCACAATCAAAGAACCCATATTCAAGAAAATACTCTTGACTTTCATGAGACCTGACCAAAAATGGGAATCACCCTATTTCCTATCAACTTGGGTTATAGACTGATTATAAAGATATTTTCTCTTCAATAAGTCCTGCCAAACCCCTTGCTCATTTATTAACTTAAGCAACCATTTACTCAAAAAACATTTATTTTGTATCTCCAGATTATGAACCCCCAAACCACCCTGATATTTGGATTGGCAAATAATATCCCATCTAGCAAGTCTGCACCTTTTCTTATGATCATCCCCTTGCCAATATTATCTCCAGATTGGATAGGTCTTTAACTCTACTTTTAGATGGTTATAGTCTCACGTCAAAATTCCACCTGAGCTTCTCGAAATCTGCGAAACAACTAACATACCTCATTCGGTCCAAATATAGTTTAGCCCTTGGGTGTTCTAATTGAGTCATGTTTAGTTAGCCTTTGTTATGGACGACCTCAGACTGCTAGACAACCATCATCGTATTTAGGGATTAGGTTTTGCTTAGATTGTTCTGTCACTATGCAGTTTTGCCGCAAGGTCGGTTTGTGCAACCCCAATTTCAAGTGCTAATCGTTCATCTGCAATTCAGATTTCACTTTTCCTTGTTCTTGTGAATTTCTTTGAATGTTTATAGGACATAACCTTCCTAGTGAGGTCAATTATGAGAGAGTGGTCAATAACGATGAGAAGTGCGGGGTGTAGCGATTACAAGTGATGATCGTCTGATCGGAAGCCTCAAAATGTGAATATCTTCATGTCAACAAATCGAACCAATTGAAAGATCAGATACCTATTCACATTAGAAATGATTGACTTTGAAATACAAAATTTCATAATAATCCAACCTCAATAGGACTCAACATAGAATATGCAGCCTATGTTGGGGCTCATGAATCAACCTAGGGTAAAGCTATAGAGCCCCTTGATTTCTAGGAAGAACATAGAAATTTATCAAATTTGAATCCTATAGGAAATTTTTCCTATTTGATGCTTGGAGCCACATAAGTTTTGGAAAAAAGCTAGAGTGAGGTTCATCCTCATGGAAACTTTAATTTGAGTCTTTAATTATCTCTCCTCTAATTGTTTTTGCTTTTTCCTATGGTCTATTGTAACGGTCATTCATGTTTTTCCTGTTTTTGCAATCCTATGTTTTTACACTTGTCATCCTATCAAAATCATGTCTTTTTCTATTTTCACTTTCTCAATCTTGTGTTTCAAACAGATCCTTAATGTCTAACATAGAATGCCTTCTCGAATAATGAACATTGTTGATATCAAACATGGCACTAAAACAAGAAAGGTTCATTCTC